TGGAAAGCCGGCCACAAGGCCACGTAAACTCGGCGACAGGCTTGGTTACTCATCAGTACAGCCGATGCTGTCCCCGCCACCGGCTGCCAGCTGGCTGGACGCTCGAGTTGACCCCCACACTTGCCGTGACATGTACCTGGCGTTGCTAGACAACCAGCTGACCCTGGCAGACTTTCGTCCATTGCAGGCGCCCTTTGTGCCGACAGTGATTAAGGTGTTGGTGAATGCCATCGAGACCGACTGCCACACTGCCTCCAACTGGGAACCCATATTCTCGCACCATTCGCAGCTGAGTGACAGGGCTGACATGCATTCCTGTGTCCTGCTACAGAATTGGAACGACTGGCACTTTCTGATGCACCAGATCACATCTCTCTCCTTACCCATGAAGATTGCCGTGCTGCGAAGTATCCTCGCGGGCTTCAAGCAGAAACCCCTGCACTTCAGTCGACGTCTCATGATGGATGTGATTCAGCGACCGCTATTTGACCAGTTCCTGCGTCCCAATCCCAACATGAAGTCCATTGTGAAGCGTGCGGTGCTGCCCTGTAATCGTACCACGATGGATACCCTGTCTTTCATCATGCTCCACCTGATACACGCCTGGGAGTATGCGTCAAATCCGCTGGAAGCAAAGTTGCGACTGTCAAAGATCTACGGACCTCTGCTGGTGAGTTTTGCGGAGCAACCAGTGGTACTGGATCAGGATCCGAGTGACTACAAGACGGGGGAGGGGGCCATTCTGGAGGTGGTGCTGGAGGAATGCAACGGACAGTTCTGGGACAATATGGGCATGTCACAGTTACGACGCGCTTTTGCCATCAGGACTACACTTGAATCTACGGCGATTGAGAGGGGGCGCCTGAGTGTCATGCCCACGGATGTGGATTCTGATAATGAGAATGACGTCTGGTTTTCATACCTCCTACGCAAGCAGAAGAAAGCGGACAAGGAAGGCGCTGGGATGGGTAAAAAGTCGATGAAAGAGTCAAAAAGGTGAGTGCCTATTTGATATACTTCTACAGTACGTGACCTAAATCATGAAATGATTCCAAATTCCAATTGACCCAGTTGTTCAAAATTGGCGGCGTCGATGGAATAGGAACCCACACATCGGGGGGGGGGCTTTTGTACAGCCTACACTCTACCACTTGAGCTACGAAGGTACACCGAAAGCTTTGAAATTAATCAAAATTGGGTCGATTCACCCGCCCAGCCTACTGTACGTATGAAATCCACCAGTACGGATACAGTAAGCTGACTGCTCAGACAGGATTTCCCAAGCAATCATCTAGAACCCACCAGAATGACTACTACTCTCACTTCATTATTTGGAGGATTTAGTAGACTTGAGTAATATAGTTGACCCAATTGTGAAAAATTCGCGGCCTCGGTGGAACAAGACTTTTATTCGCTTGACGTTTCGAAGTCATCCGCGGATTCTTCATCGGAGACATTGACATAAAAAGTAATAGAAGTGGGTAATGCACGCATAGAGAGTTGCAGTATTTATAGGATGCGGTCACTATGATAATGCACACTTATGATACTTAACGACCCAAGCGCATTGCCTAAAACAACCAATAAATATGGTTCTTAGACTGAAATCCAATCCTAAAGGAGATAGTAAGTCATATAGCATAGTTTAAACATAAAAAAGTTTCCTTGATGAAACAGGAAATACTGAAAACGTGCTTTCGTGTCTATTGAGGAATCTAAAGTTCTAGAAGTACACAAGTCCTCTTTATTCAAATAACAGTAAATATGTGGTGTCCCAAAATTATTCGCATATTTTAAAAGTTGAATAATTTATTTAAAAAATTAAATATTCAGCAATAATATTTGTGTATTATTCGACCTCATTGGTTGCTGTTTTATTTGTAAACGAAATTTGTACACAATGTTTACTGCACAGTACAGCATTGCAGATATAAAAGAAGACCAGTACAAAAGTAGTGCCTGAGATTCTGATGGCGCGATGCTCAGAGGACAGAGCTTGAGCTATAGTTTGATGGAGGCCGAGGTGAGGCGAGTGGAGGTTGCTAAAGCTGTAGGTGTATCTACCAGGACGGTCAGGTATTGGTGGTCACAGTACAAGCGGACAGCAGGTATTCGGGAGCGGGGGTTAACGACACTTAGGTGCCGGTGAAAGATAAATATAGATGATTGTTAGTGTTGTAACCTGGTGTGTTCCTGTGTCAACACTGGCTATATCCTTGGTTGATCTCACCTGCGTCGCCACTGTTGTAACCTAGTGTGTT